CAAAATGTCACAATATTTGCTCAAGGCACGTGGGTTGTTTTCAGTTACTGAGGTTTAGCAGAAAAAATACAGAGGTAACGGTTCCTCTGGGGGTGATTTGGCACCTCCCAGGGGATCAGGGCCTTCACTCCCTGCAAGGAGCAGCTGGAGCTCGGCAGACCTGGCTGCAGTGCAGGTCTCCATGTGCTGCAGTGATGTGAAAGTGAGGTGCAGGAGGGCAGCAGCATGCTGTCAGCACCAGGAAGCCCCACTGTTCTGCAGCAGCCCCTGCTGTGCCCTGAGCTCTGTGCAGCATTAACAGCAGCTGTGGGCACTGCAGAGCCTGAGGTGATGGGCTGGGGAGAAAGCACTCATGGTGCTGCCTGTTATCGAGGGCAGGAATTAGAGCATAGCTGACACCAGGCTCTAGCAATAACCAAGTCTCATTGCTGCTCCAAAACCCCATCTTCCCAGGCAGTAAATCAGGATGAAAACCATATATTGAAGCATTGAAAAAAGCACAGCTCTCAGCAGGGTGAGGTTTGCACCTGATCTGCTGCAGCACCCAAACTCCACAGCACAGCACAAGGTGCTGAGCTTTAAATTCCAAGCAGCAACAGCACCTCCAGCTCGCTCAGGAATTGCCCCCAGCTCTCCACCCCCAGCTGGGTCCTCACGGGAGCTCCCACCGAGCGAGGTCTCTGCCACGTGTAGGAGATTTTAAGGCTGGGTGATCACAGTGCTGCACAGATCTGGGCACAGTTTGCACCTATGCTCAGTCTGGGCAGTGCCCTCTGAGCTGCTTAGGTGACACTGTGCACAGAGCATCTCCTGAGGCAGTGGGCAGCACTTCCCATGGGCTGCAGCTGCCATGGCCTTCGCACTGCATTTGGCAGCGCACTCAGTGGGGACACAGATCCTTCCAGGACTGACAGCATTCCTTCTAGCTTACAGCAGCCCCTCTCAGCGCAGCACCCACCCAGGTCCTGCTGGAGCCACAGGAGCCCCAAATAGAGCCTTGGCTTTACCACTGCTATTTTGGGGGGAAGCAGCCAGCACCTGGATGGGCACCTGGGGCCATCACAATATTTAGCTTCTGGGCAACTGCTGTGGGGCAGAGCTACAATACGTCAGGAGCAGGAACAGAGGGAAGAGCAGCTGAAGCTTTTCACATGCAAAGCTCCTGGTGCTAGAAATAGGCCTCTATATTCTGCTCTGTTATTAAGGGCCTAACCTCCCTCCCAGGGCTGGAAAGGGCAATTTGATTTGTGTGCAGCAGGAGCCTTCTGGGCATGCCACAGTATTGATCAGCCCCACAGGCAGCGCTCTGCACATCTCTGCAATGACATCACCCAAAAAGCAGCATCTTCTCTCATTTACGAGGGGTAACATGCCTTGCTTTTCAGGATTGCATTTTATTTTTGGCTGCCTTGTACAAACACTTCACACAGTGTTTTACTCAAAGCTCAGATTACCCTAGCTGCCTTCAGAGAAGGGCTGGGCTCCTGGCATCATCCTTGGGCCACAAATCTCTGCACATAGCTCTACCAGCATATAGGCAAGAGAACCCCACACATCCTACTGGGCTGGAAGGGAATTGTCAGACACTCCTACAGGGGTAGCAAAGTGTTTCCCAGGTGCTAGGGGGGATCATGTGCTTGCCAGACAGCTTTAGCTGCCAGGTTTCTGGCTGCCTTCACCACAGTGTGATGCAAAACTCCCACCTGAGCAGTGACCACAACCATCCATGTGCTGGCACTGTCCCTCCTCACTACCTGAGCCCAGATTCACAGACAGCAGCAGTTCAGCTCTGCTGAAAGGGAAAGCATTATTCTATGGCTGCATGGATTTTGGTTAAAGGAAAAAAACTAATCAAGCCTCATTCCCTAGAATAAATAGCCAGTGGTGAGATAGGACCCCAGTTCTCAGCAGCAGCACACGAACTGGTTAAATCTGATTACAGGAGCACCCAATTGGGTATGACAAGTGATAAATCAAGAGAAGGTCCCACTAGATAAGGCAAAGCCAAACAAGGCTATTTTAAAATGAAAATCCAGAAGAATTTAGAGTACTGGAGAGAGAGATAAGCGCTGTGACTGAGAGGAGCTGAAAGCAGGCAGAGTAGGGCAGAGGCTGCTATATGGCAGCTCCCTGCGCCCGCAGCAAGTGAGGGCCGCCCTTGAAGCAGGCTCAGCACCACTCAGCAGTGCTGTGAGCAGCTCAGCCCGGGACCCTCTGCTCTCCCAGCACAGCCCCCAGACCCTGAGGCTTCACCACCCCTGCAGCACCAGCCAGGACCCCACAGCTGAGGACACTGAAGGAGCAGCTGTGTAGCTGAGGCACCCTGACTGCTCCAGAACCTGATTCACTTTGTTATTCCCTTCCAACTTGAAATAGGACATTTATTCAGCATTTAGAACACAGCTTTGCCCACAGCCATAGGGTTGTGATTAGGAAGTAGGTAGTGCCTGCTGAGCTGCTATGGCACCACAAATACAGCTGCACGTTTCCTACGATGCCCATTGCACTGGGCTGATCAAACCCAGCACTACATGCAGTACCTGGCTGCCCACTGCCAGCTGCCTGCCCTCATCCCACATCCACGCGGTGCTCACAGACTGGGTGCACTGTCACACCACCAGCACGGAGCTGCTCCAGCTGCAGCCCCATGAGAGCCAGGACATCGGCACCAAAGGAATCTTGTAACCGTTCAACCCAAGGAGAATTGCTGACTGCAGGCCATTTCCCTGCTCTGTGCTGAGAGGCTCCCACAGCTGTCCCTCTGCTCCTGGCACCTGTGGCACACAGCACCCACTGCCCCCTGAGAAGTTTGAGCTCCCACCTGAGCACCTGTAACACAGGCAGGAATGGAGAATGACTTGGATATTGAATCCATGCCCTCACGGCTGTACAAACACCACAGGTTTTGCTCTCCTTTAAAGGGCAATCTGCTTTGGTTTGAAACTAACTAAGGAGACTCAAATGATAAATGAATGTTTTTCTCTACTTCCACCTCAAAATTTAATTTTAATTGACATTGCACACGACACAGCTACTACTCAAACTTTTGTTCAGGAGCCACTTATTTTGGCCATGCCATTAAGCCTCCAGTGCAGCCCCAATGCTCCCAGCACCCAGTCTGAGCAGCAAGATCCAACCCAGCCCCACCAGACCCCACATGCTGACAGAGAGAAGGCCCAAAGGAGCTCACAGGAAGGAGACTTGAAAAGGAGCCTTTGTTTTGCTTTTTTAGAAAAGATGCAAGGAGAGCCGTGCTCCAGGCACTGCAAGCACCAGGCCCTTATGCTCCATCCCACCCAGCGACAGCTTCCCTTCAATTGCAACAGCTCTGTTCATTTGTCCCCTGACACAGACCAAGCTGGGCATCAGTCCTTCCCCCACTCTGCCCCAACCCAGATTTCCAGCACTGCTGTCCCTCCACCCCCATGCCATGTGCTCTCAGGGCACAGCACAAGCTCCATTTTGCCATGCTGCTCCCCAACATTGTCATCTATTTCTTTCCATAGAACTTTGATTTCTCTGGACTTTATTTTTTTTGTATTTATTCCTCTCTGCTCTAGAGGAATCTACTTCACTGGCTGGGCCTAAGCAGCAGGTTATTTTGCTGACCTCTAAGAAGGCTTCTGAATTCACAGCACGGTCCCTGCAGCCCACAGGCCAGCTCGGATCTTGATAATCATTTTAGGAAAAGAAACTCCCTCCTTGAGACCACGTATGGCCAATCCTGGGGGGGCAACGGGAGCTTGGTTTCTGCAGAGAGAAGCCTGTTGGATTTCTAGCAAACATCCCAAAAGGAAAAGTCTGAACTTCAGTGTGACCTGGATGCAGCACAGCAGCATTCTGCATCAGCCCCCTTCCTCCAGCAAGGCAGACATGCAACAAATGCATTATTGCCTACAGATGGCACTTCAGCTCCTGGTTGCCACTAATTGCTGACAAACCAGCACTATTTTTCACCCCTTGCCAGCTGTGCATCACAACTTGTGTGGTGTCCCACTTGCACTCCGACAGCACCCCGACCTATTTATATCCCCACAAGCAGCTCCCAGCACTACCTCAGGCGGCTGCTGGCTGCACACAGACAGCCCAGCTCTCATGTTCCTCCTCCCACACCCTGGACACCGGATCCGCATGCCTGCAGCACCCAGCTGCAGCCCAAAGGCAGAGTATGACGCACACCACAGGGCATGGGGCTGCACCCAGCTCTGCAGGCCCCACACAACCCCGCTGCAGCAGCCCTGCACTGGCAGGCAGGCAATAGCGTGGGGCAGAGCAGAGCAGATCCAGCTCCCCACCACACAGCAGCTGCACTCCTAAACCCAGCGCTGGGCCCCGGCCAAGCAGCACTGCTTCTCCATGAGATGGCTGTCACACTCCTTGCACCCGGAGCCGCACACACACCAGCACTGGGTGCTTTGCTCGTCTCCCAGCAGCACCCATCACTGTCCATATCTCCGTGGTTAGCTTTGGTGAAAGCTCAGCTTGAACGCCCATGACCAGGACGTGGCCATTGAAACCTGCCCCAGTGCAGCAGCCAGGGCACCTCACAGCATTCTCCCATCCTTACCAGTGCCATTTACCCTCACACAGACTCACAGGTTTTGCATGGTTATTTCCCACCCATTTTGCTCCTGTCTCTTAGAATGCTTTGTGTTGGAAGGGACCTTTAGGATCACCTCCTTCCAACCCCCTGCTATAGGCAGGGATACCTCCCTCCCTCTAAACCAGGTTGCTCACAGTCTCATCCAGCCTGGCCTCGAGTGCTGCCAGGGAGGGAGCATCCGCAGCCTCTCCATGCAACCTGCCCCAGTGACTCACCCACACAATGTGTGCTGAGGACATCTGCTACAAACTACACCACAGCAGCTTTAGCCAAGGATGTGTCAGCCCCCAGAGCCCCCCCAGGCCACAGGGTCCCTCCAGCACAGCCCCTTTAAGGGCACCGATGCAGCACGACATTAATTTTAGCCTGGAGCACAGCCAGGGCGTGGGGCAGCTGCTCAGCTCTCACAGCCTGCCCTCTGCACTGCCCCAGCACTGCAGCCCAGCAGCACCAGAGCCATGGCTGAGGAACAGAGAGAGCTGGAGGAGAGGATCATCATCAAAGACCAGCACACCAAGGAGATCGACCTGGTGAACAGAGATCCAAAGCGGATCAACGAAGACGTTGTAAAGGTAAGGACTTCCTGAGCACTGCTTTTAGGAGACTAGCTCCCTTCCCATTGCACAGAGTGTAAGCAGCCAGGTCTTCATCACTGCCATGAGGGCCAGAGGCTGCACTGCAGGTGGCAGGGGGAGGAGAACAGCCTCTGGTCCCACTGTGCATGTGGCCCCATTGATGCTATATTCTATTCCTTGAATGCACTGCCCGTCTCCACTGGCCTGAAAACATATGGGGCTGCCCTCACTGGTCACAGCAGTGGGAAGCCAAAAATAAAATGGGGTCAGCCCATACCACTGCTTGAAAGGGAACCTTTGAAAAAAGCTGAGAAGAACTTGCTAATGTTCAAGGCTCAGCAGTTCGAGCAGCAGAGCACTGAGATAAGCACTGTCCTGTTTGCAAGAAGACCGTTTCCCCTGCATGCCAGCACGGGGTGCAGCAACCCGCTTCTATTTTTGATCAAAAGGAGCACACGTCTCTGAAAAGGGGAGAGGAGAGAGAAAAGGGAAAAGGAACGCCTCTTCCTAAGCAGTGACCATCGAAACTTGTCCGCTCTGTCAGTCGTGTAATGGGATTTGTTAGAATAATACTGGGGTAAGGTTGGCCTAAAGTGGGGCAAGGAGGAGAGGGATGAGTTTTATTAAAACTGCTTTGAGATCAAAGCAAACGGCACACCAGGAGGGATGGCACAGCCCAAGCTGCTCACAAAACTTCTGAGCAAGCTGTGACCTTGATGGCACCAGTGAAAAGCATTTGTGTGCTGAAACGCTTTGTATTCCAGTGGAACCCCGGCAGTGCCCTGAGGGGCTGCGCAGTGACAGCCATAGGAGGGCACCCTGCAGGCCTCTGTGCAGCAGAGCTGCTGGGGATAAGGGCCAGCCGTGGGAAGGGGATGCAGTGCAGGAGCAGCACCCAGTGCCTGCAACAAGGCCTCCCCATCCTCCCCAACCACAGGCCATTCCCATCCCCTTTTTCCTCTCAAGCTCCAAAAACTCTGCAGAGGATTTTCCAGCCCATCAACTCATGTAATTAGACTACTTCCTCTGTTTTCAAAGCATCTGATGAAGCCACCTCGCATTCTTCCAGACCCAAAAATAGACCAGACGATAAGCTGGGCAGGGAAAGGCACAGCCACAGCCCCAGCACTGTGGAAAAACATGAGCAGCTGAAGCCTCTCCACAGTGGGCAGCAGCACACCAGGAAACACCCCGGGCATACATCAGAGCCGTGCAGAGAGAGGCAGCAGCCACATAGGCGGAAGGGCACCCACCTGCAAGCAGAGTCCTGGCACACATACAGCAGCAGCAGCAGCGCGTGGCAAAGCCCTGGAGCCTCCAGCCTCCTCCCAGCCGTGGCACAGGATGTGCAGGTGGTGCCTGGAGGCACTCGCTGAAGGCTGTGGGGCAGAGCCCAGCTCAGCATTCAGCCTGTGTCCTATCTCTCCTCAATAGCCCCTCCTGATACGCAGGGAGCAAAAGGAAGAGAGAAGGGCAGACTCCTTCTTATAGCCTGCTGCTGCCCTCACTAATTATCCCGATTAGCTGGCCAGGCAGCTGGAACCTGTTTGGATCTCAGCTGGGCAGGGTCTGGAGGGGATTGGAGCTGCTCCCCTGTGCCCACCTGCACCCACACACAGGGCTGTTCTTTCCCAGCCCGTGTCAGTGTCTGTCCTGGTGCCTGCTGCCAACCCCAGGAAATTAAAGGTGATGCGGAATGACCTTATGATCAAAGAGCTTTCAAAAACAGAAGAGATGCTGCAGTTGGACATAAATGCATAAGCAGACATGTCAGCCTAACCAAGGAAAGGTGCTTCTTCTGAAGAAAATTGGCTTGGTTCATGCATTCCCTAAAAATGGTTTCCAATGCAGCAAGGTCTGTGCATGATTTGGAGGCTCTTAGGAATATTTGCAATGCTCCCAATGGCTGTGTATAGCAATGATATTCCTGCAAGAGCATGGCCAGGCTGATCCCTCCCCCTTCAGCAGAACGCAAACAGGCAGAACCAGGTATCTCACCTCCAGATGTATAATAAGAAAATCATAGATCAGGAGCACCGTGGGGTTTTACTAGCACCAACACCTCCTGCGTGTGGGCAGCCCATGTCCTTGAATGATAAAAAAGCATAGGAATGGGCTCTGTCTTCCTCAAGTATGGCTGTGCCCATCCCCGCCTGTGGCCATGTCCTGTCCTGTGGGCACAGTGCACTGCTGGGCACGAGGTCCCTCCAACCTGGGCCTGGTGTCTGTGCCCACCCTGTGACGGAACCAATCCCTCCCCCTGAGCTTCCCCGCACACAGCAGCTCCTGCACCTCACCTTGTGCCAACGCTCCCTCCCTCCGTCCTGTGCCAGGTGGATTTCGAGGATGTGATAGCTGAGCCCGTGGGGACGTACAGCTTTGACGGTGTCTGGAAAAGCAGCTACACCACCTTCACCGTCAGCAAGTATTGGTGCTACCGGCTGCTCTCGGCCGTGCTGGGCATCCCCCTGGCCGTGGTCTGGGGCTTCCTCTTCGCCCTCATCTCCTTCTGCCACATCTGGGCGGTGGTGCCCTGCATCAAGAGCTACCTGATCGAGATCCAGTGTGTCAGCCGCATCTACTCCCTCTGCATCCACACCTTCTGCGATCCGCTCTTCGAGGCGCTCTCCAAGATCTGCAGTAACGTCAGGGTCGTGCTGCGAAAGGAAACCTAAATCCCAGCAGCACCACAACCGCCGCGCTGTGCCGGTCCCCGAGCAGCCACAGTGCCCGCTGGGTCTCTGCTGCCGTGCCGGGGCTCTGGGCACATCTGTCCTTGGGATGTCAAGGACACAGAGGCACCTGTGTGCTCTACTGGTGCTGCCCCGAGCGCTGTGCTGCCCCGGGGCCCAGGAGGTCTCTTTGTCCAGATATTATTCTCAATTTATTCTTCCCTCGGCTCCCAACAAGTATTTGAGGCCAAAGTCCTTCCCAACGCGATGCCACAGAGAGAGGCACAGTTTGCATGGTGCTCCTCTGCTGCGGGGTCGTGGAGCTCTGCTGCCCTCAGCAACGTTGCACTGATGCTGCACAGCACTGCGCCTCGGGGTGGCTGCAGTTACATGTAGTGAAGGATATTTGAATGTTTGTAGGAAAAAAATGTTTCTGAAAACACTTTATCACAGGTATTTTTTTAAAGGCTTTTGTTGAAATAAAAAGAATTTAAAACCACATTGGAATTATGTTCTTTTTAGTGTTGCCGTTGTTCTGCTTATTCCCATCCTGAGCCAAATCCCAGCCCAGCTCCCACCACCTCCCACCTCCACGGCCCCACAAGCAGCACACGCCGCCCTGCCGCAGTGCCTCTGATTCCCTTTGGCCCTTTGAGGCCATGGTTGGTGTCCTCCTGTGGTGACAAATCCCCACCATGCCTCACTGCCAGGAGAAAGAAGATGAGCACAGGGGGAAAAACGGTGTGCTCTGGGAACACCTTAAACCAGTCTGGTGGAAGGTGCTGAGATGGGCTGTGCATGCTAACAGCTCACTGAAGCTCCTGGAAAAACATGGAAAGGAAAGCCACAGCACGGCAGGTAACAATGTATGTGTTGGTGACAGTGAAAAAAGAAACAGGTACAGATTTCAGTGCGCTTTTTGTACCCGCTCCCAATGCTAACACTGAGCCTTGCTGCATTCACAGGGTTGCAGGCAGTGAGGAGAGCAGCACCAGGCCCCCCTCAGCACTGCCTCATGCAGCACATGGAACACTGAACACAGCACTCAGCGCACTGCCCTGAGCTCAACAGCACCCTCACACCATGTGAAATGCATCACAGCCATCCATGGCCTTCGCCCTTTGGCACAGTGCTCCTCCTGCACCTCCCCTCCATCAAGACACAGCCAGAAAGTTTTATTTACAGGTATTCCTTAACAATTAAAAAACCCATGCTGTGAGCATGACTTTGTGCGTTACAAAGCAAGAAGGTTGCATTGGTGGAAAAGATCAAATGCTATCAGCTGCAGACCCAGAACAAGTGCTTGGCCTCGGAGGACCAGATAGCAGCTCCTCAACCCCACGGAGCCCCAGTGTAACCCAGATGCCTTAGGAGAAGCCTGGAGCACGCTCAGCAGATGCATTATTGCACAGATCCCCAGTCCCACGCTGGCATTACTCCTGCCAGCCCGCAGTGCCCACCCTCAGCCCCGTCCCAGATGAGCTCCATGCAGGAGGCAGGAGGGGCTCCGACGACGGTCCGTGCATTAAAGCCGCCGGTGGGAACGGGCCAGGCGCTGCTCAGCCCCGCACAGCCCTGAGCGCGGAGTTCTCCTCGCCGCTGCCCGGCCCGACGCGGCGCGCTGCCCGCGCTCTCCCGCACACACGTCTGTACCCCTATTTATTTACACCGCACTCCCCACCGCAGTCCCAGCGCTTCCCAGCACTCGGCCCGGTGCCCTCACGTGGAGGGCGGCTGCGCCAGGCTGCGCTGGCTGCTGCTGCGGCAGCTGAGCACGAAGGAGGACGAATGGCTCTTCCTGCCCACGCTCAGCTCGCAGGCCGGCCGAGCCTTCAGGTACCGCGCGGAGCAGCAGAGGAAGCGCCGCATCAGGTCGTGGAACAGGTGCCCCGTGTACAGCATGTAGATCCAGGGGTTGCAGCAGCTGTTGAGGCTGGCCAGCAGCATGGCGATGATGAAGGGGGAGGCTGCAAGGAGAGAGCGCGTCAGGTGCGGGGGGCGAAGATTTCGCTGTGGGCCCCCGACCCCGCGCTGCCGCTGCGAACGCAAACAGCGGGCGGAGGGCGGAGCCGCGGCCACGGCACCGCGCTGGCACGGCGCGAAGCGCTTTCCCTCCCGACGGCCCGGAGCTCAGATCGGTTCCGTCCCATCAGAACGGGGCTGCGGACCCACAGTCGCGCCAACCCCCAGCCCTGTGCCCCCGCCCTGCTCTCCCTGTGTCCTGCTGGGAAGCACCGGGTCTGGCTGTGTCTGTTCCCTCTGCGCCTCAGCCAAAACGCGCTCACACCTCTGAAACCAGAAGAAAAGCACAAACTGTGGCTCTGGTTTCCAAATTCCCCTTTAACCCGCTCACCCACAATTCCTGCTCTAGTGACAACTGCTCCAGCTGCTCCTAATAAAAGGAAACTGCTGAAAGTCCGTGGTGAGAGAACTGAGGCACATCACAGCATTTCAATCTACTTTAGAAAAAAAGATATACATTCATCTTTCGCTGACTCAGCTCTTCTGCCTCTGGAGCTGATAAATTGCACTTCATGGTGCATGGCTGCACCATTAGGCCCCCAAGAGCGCCCCAGGAGCGCCCCGAGAGCCAGATCGGCCCGCCAGGGCAAGGGCTGGGGACATTACATGGCAGAGATGGGGATGTCACATGGAGGGACTCCCTGCTCTGTTCAGGGGCCAGCAGAGGCAGACGCGGCCGCGTTCTGTGGGCAGCTGCAGCTGAGAGCCCGGTGCTCCGTGCAGCCTTGTGGACAAAGCACCAGCGTTTGCTCGCTGATGGGTCAGGAGAAGCCCTCGGGGCTGCGGGTTGGACATACAGTGAAAGACACGGCATCGTCAGCGTCTGAAAATCAGACATTCGGACTAGACCGAATTCGGAAAACCAAGAGAGAGCTGTCGGGAGCATCCGGGAGGGCTTAAAAAGCTGTGCTGAACTTCCACACCTGCAGTAAGCGAGCAGAGAGAAGCAAAAAAGGCACAGCGAGGGCGGCTGGAGCCGGGCAGGAGAGCTGCTCCGGCGGCAGGGCTGCGGGGACATCGCGGTGCCACCAACAGCCCGGTACTGGCGGACCGGACCCAGCCGCAGAGCACAGAGCCGCAGCCCGGTGTTGGCCTCCGGCAGCCCCACACTGCGCACTGCTGCTGGTGCCCAAAGCGCTGCCCCTGAGCGCACTTTGCTGTCCTTCCTCTCAGCTCACAAAGTTGTGCAGAGCTTTTCCGCGCGCGGCTTTTCCCAGGTGCGGGGACGCTCCCGTGCAGGGGCAGCAGCGGCTCGCACAGCACGCGGATCTGAGCCGGGCGGTGAGTCTCACTGCTTGCAGCCCCGGGGATGGCAGCAGCAGCCAGCACCGAGCGTAAAACATAGCAAAGCAGTGACACCGCATCCAGGAGGCAAAACTCTTAAATCAGAGGGCTTTTGGAAGACCTGTGCTTCATCCAGAGCCATACAGAAGCAGCACAGTGCCCGGGCGGGTGAGAACAGAGGGGAGGGACGGGAAGGCAGAAGAGTTGCAAGCAAAGAAGTCAGCGGCGACAGAGCGGTACCGCAAGGGAAAAAAAAAGGATTGGGCACGGGAGACGCGCGGCTCCAGTGAGGGGAGCTCAGGGGCAGCCGCCGCCTCCTCTCTCGGTGCTGCTCCACGCTCAGAACCTCTCCTCGCCCCTCCAGACTCCCGAGCCCCCGAGACGTTGCTGTCTCTCCCAGCCCCCGGCCCGGAGCGCCGCAGTCCCTGCACGCACACAGCCGCGGGGGGAGGACGTACCTTCCTGCGGAGCGTTGGTGTCCCACACCGACCACATCTGCACGAAGAAGAAGGGCGTCCAGCACACGATAAACGCCAGCACGATGATGAAGGTCATTTTGACTGTCCGGATCTTGGCTTTGGAGATGAGCCGCGTGCTGCTGACCCTGGCAAACGCCGCTCCGCCGCGGGCGGTGGAGCTCAGCCCCCCGGGGGGGCCGTGGGCCGTCTTCAGCTTCACGTTCTGCCAGATTTTGAAGCTGATTAAGCCGTAGCAGACGCTCAGCATCAACACTGGGATGATGTAGACCATGAGGGTTATCCAGGTGACATAGGCTTTGGGTCCCCAGGGCTGGATGAAGTCCGCCCAGCAGTCGTAGACTCCGTTCCCCACATCCCGCAGGGAAAAGATGTGGATCTGGGGGATGCTGACCAGCAGGCACAGCAGCCAGGTGAGCAGCACGGAGACCCGGTCCGCCCGCCTATGCAGGGACCGCAGCGGCTGACAGATGGCCAAGCAGCGGTCCAGGGACATCAGCAGGAGCATGTAGGTGGAGGCGAACATCCCCACCACCTGCAAGTACTTGATCAGCCGGCAAAGGAAGTCGGGGCCGTAGAACCTGAAGGTGATGTCCCATATGAGCTGGGGCAGGACCTGGAAGACGGCCACCACCAGGTCGGCGATGCTCAGGTGCTTCATGAAGAAGTACATGCGGGAGTGCTTCTGCCGGGTGGTGTGGATGGCCAGCAGCACGCACAGGTTGCCGCTCAGGGCGAGGAAGAGGATGAGGCAGAGCACGGTCACCTCCACCTTGGCCATGTCCTCGTTCCGCTTCAGGGGGTCCGCGGTGCCGTTCCTGACGGTCGCTCTGTCCTCGGGCTGCAGGCTGCCGTTCCCCAGAGTGCCGTTGGCCCACAGGCCGCTCCCCGCCAGGTACAACTTCTCCATGGCCGCCCCGCATAGAGCCGAGCACCTCCCGGCCCCTCACGACCCCGCTCTCCGCGGCGCCGCGTCCCCCCCGGGCGGCTGTGCCCGAAGAGCCCCCCGGCCGCACCCCGGGCTCCCGCCGCATCCGCAGCCCGCGGTCCCGACGCGACAGCAACGCGAGGAGCGGCACGCGGGGGGGCCGGCAGAAGAGCGCCGTCCGGCCGGCAATCCGCGGCCCCGCCGCTGCCGCACGCGGCTCCAGCACGGGGAGCGCGGAGAGGACCCCCAGCCCCGGGCGGGGCGGGGAAAGGGATGGGGATGGGGAGGGGGCCGGCTCCGTCCCGCCCCGCCCGCGGGCACGGATGGGACCGGGGTAGGTCCCGCCCGCTCGGAGCGGCCGCGAGAGGGAGCGGCAGCGCCGCGCCGTGCGGCCCCCGACCCCGATCCGCGCTCGGCGAGCTTCGACCCGAGGAGGATCCCCTCTGTGCGGCGGCCGGCAGCGGCGGTTTTGGGCTCTGACGCTGGAAAAGAGCGGCGCGTCCCTGAGCTATGCCGGGTTCGGGGCTCTCCGCCGGGGCTGTCCCCGTGCCTCGGCGGGAGCGGATGGCAGCCGCGTGCCGCTGCTCGCGCTGTGCTGCCTGGCAGCCGGAGCGGCGGCGACCCCCGAGGAGTTTTTCTTTCGGGATTATCTGCGAGTCCTGCTACGCCACCGCTAGAAAGGAAAACATACGCGGCTACGTTCGATACCGTTCGCCGTCAGTGCCGACCTCGGCCCTCGCACGGCGGGGCAGAGCAGTGTTTCCTCAGCGCTCGCTCC